GTGAGCCGACCTTGGTACGATTTGCTTTTATTTTCTCTCATGATTGGCTCGACCCTGAAATCCATCCATAGATGGTTGATTGATAGCCCAGAAGCTCTGTATTCCTCGTCCTTGTATTCGCCTACTACCAAGCCCAAGTCCTGATATTGAATATCGCGCTGTAAAACTACATGACGATTATTCGATGTCACACAAACGAAAGAAGTAACACTGCGTTTCTTGTGCGCAAGGTATCTGAAGTCGGAAAAATTAACAGCTGATACACCATTACCAACCCTACAAGCATTGGTTATCACCTTGATCTATGCAATTCTTGGAGAGGTAAGATTTCTTCTTTGATGGCCAGAAATGGGAACAAGTCAACTAATAGTCGCAGGCACCTGCATCTACTTTGAACTGGGCAGCACAGTGGGCCGATTGCGACGACTCGGTGTCTTGGATGATCGGTGGCGCCCGGAAGAACACCTACAGTCCGCTGATGATCGATGGGTCCAAACCGAGGAGATGAAACGGTGCAACGCAGGCCATATCTACTACCGCACATTTTCTAATACCTCGTTAGGCTGGTATACGCGATTTTACGCATCGATACCTATTTGTGCATTATTCTTGATCCCCCCCCCCACCATACGATACCAAAAATTCGGACCACCACTGCCCGTGTCAGAGGATCTGTGGCGAGCAGAGACCAGGGCGGATCGAACAAACTTGCACTGGTACGAACCGGCGGACCGAACCAAAAGTGCATTTTCCACAATGGTTCGTGACGGACTGGAGTCGCGTGGATTCATGACTGGTTATCTTCAGATGCTTCACCTGTCCCTCAGCATAATCACTTCAGTCTCGGTGGGTTCTTGTCGGAGCTGTGGGGGGTTTCGAAAGAGGCGCAGGAGGAGCACCATCGAAACTACCGCTCACCCGAATTGAACCGCACCGCAGACCGAGTCGAGCTTTTGAAAGGCCATCCTCAGGACTAGCGAGTCGACATTGAAAAGACTGACAAGCTGGAAGACGCGTTCTTTGGCGAGTGTTTAGGCGACTACAGCCATTTCCGTGGTCTAGACCTTACCCTATACCACCTTCTTTGCCTCAAGCTCTATGCCAATCTCCGTTTGCTCGAACACAAGAAATGCTGCTCGGGTTGCCAGGAAGCCACCATCGAAAATGTCATCAGTGTCTGGGCCCGATCTCCCGTACTTAATTGGCACATATGGTTTAGTGTTCTAGACTAGAACTTCCCCATATATATATTTCCTTTTTACTATGAATAGATCCGAAATATTTATTATGTTCAGCTATGATCTGCACCGTCAGAACATGATTAAATTCTTTCCCTGATTGTCGTGCATATAGTTGTAATAAAAACGACATGTCAAACCTAATGCATCAGATAGCCCTCATGTAAGTGCATAAACTCCCTCGCCTAAGTCACTATTGTAGAGAGCTATAAACAAATTCATAGACTAAAGGAAACAATAGCGTAATTGTTCACTACATACCTAGGCAAGTCATACGTCCCAGGTTTCCTCTGCCGGGTCCGGCTTACCTATCTTAGCTGCCGCTGCTTTTACGAGGGCGCTCAGAGTCGGCTCACTGGGTAAAATTCAATCTGGGTTCAGACTCACAAAGACATAGTCTAAAGCCGCCAATGCTTATGGAAGACTCACGAAAAGGCGCGTTCTAAGAGAAACATTGGAAAATATGAGGTGGGCTACCGTCGGGTAACATCTCCACTCTACCTTCCGTGGCTGTATAGGTGCTCATCCGTGGTAAAGCAAGTTCCCTAAAATCATAAGGTTAAGATGAGGTAGGTCATAAAAGCGCAGCCTTAAAAGTCTGCCGGACGTCTTGTAAGATTCCAACCTTATCTCACGCCCGTCGGCTCCTCGCGCCTTCCATTCCCATCCTCTTTCCCTCCTCGCGCTGTTTCTCTCTCCCACTTCATCGCTATCGTTATGGCTGGAACTCGCCCGTCAAGTCCCAGTGAGACTGGTACCGATTTTCTTCTCAACCGGTTCCTCGATAACATCACTATACCAAGCACAATGGAAGAAGACAGTCGATCGAAAAAGTCATCGCTCAGATTAGCAAAGGATACAACAACACAGGACCCCGGGTCCGACGCCCTCCTCACAGTACCAAGTACACCGGAGAGAGGATCCGTGAGCTTCGCACACTTGCCCCCACCAATATCGCCTGGTTCGGCTAAGTCAGGCCGCTCATCTAAAACTACCTTCACCTACAAAGACCGCAACTTCATAACCGAGCTGGATGTCAGAGGCGTTCTTGAGTCTGAAGAGGCACCCTCCGATCTCGACGGCATCGTCAAGATGCTAAAACGGAACTCACCCGGCCTTCAATCCCTTGATGAAGTGACCACCGAGACCTTCGAGAATTGTCTCATCGTGCCCGGAAACGAGCCCACCATCCAGACCGTTATAGTGCCCGGCCTCATTAATCTCCATGGCATTATCCGAGACAAAATCACACATGCCGCCGTAGATGCCCAATTCATGGCCGAATGTGTGTTGCCTCTTCTTCCCGAGGCCGACGACAATAGCACCAAGACTCCCCCCCCATACCCAGACATCGTCGTAGGCCTTCGACGAACCATCTTCCAGGACTACTGTGTAGTCCTCCGTCATCTCGACACTATTGCAGCCCCGATTACCTGCACGACCGCCATTGTCTTCCCGTGCTTTACAGTGGAGGTGAAAGGAGGATCAGGAGCTTCCGATGCGCGCAATCAAAACCGCAACAATGCGGCCCATATGCTTCGCCACCTTCGCCTACTTTCGTGCCAGGCCAGGGGCGAGCAGTACACCCGAGAATCCTTCGACGGTGTTGTGCGAGTTCATCTCTGCAACGGTCAGACAGGAAAAGGTCACAATTTCTGGTCATTGGACTGTTTTAAAGTCGGGACATGTCTACACCTACTCCTACCTGCTCAAGTCCGCTGGTATCAAGGATATCACCAACAAACAGTGGAATGAGGTCTCACGTTATCTCCAAAATGGCATCAGATATGTTGTCCAAAAGACAAGAGAACAGGTTGAGGACAACCTGAAATTCATCAAAGATGGGTTGAGCCGTAAACGCCGCCACTCTTGATTCGGGAAGCGCGATTTTGATTGTCTTTTACATAGTTATGCCAAGGTAGCCAAGCCATCCATGGATGCTGTCCCTCAATACCAAGATTCACAAGAGTTATTTGATAACTTTGCTACCATTGCCGACTCTAGTGTGTAATATTCTACTCTTTCTATTCGTATTCAAGCGATCCATGGATAATCTAAGGCTGGAGTACCACTGATCTAAAGCATGTCTATGGATGCTCCAGAACTGCATTATATCAAATGTATTGGATTCGATATTTAATAAAATGAGATAATTTAACTGTTGTACTACTGCATTCAACAGAACTAACTATGGTAGTCTTACAGTACAATTTAGAGACACAGTAATACTACCGTAAGCATACCCCACTTCGACTACCCGTCTCTACCAGCCGCTCAGCTGAAGCGTATCTACGACCGCGAGAGCAATCTTTAGAGACTCAACGGCCAACGTCTGCCTACGTGCTAGGACCTGCTGGCTTGTTGGCCAGTGCCACTCTTCTGTGCACCTACGGTGCCAAGGCACCCGGGGTGAATACGCCTGAGGGCGACGTCGTTATACAGCGCCGGCTGATGCAATCGAGCTGGGTCAGTCGAATCTCTCAGGGTGGCCCTGCGACCGTGGACGGGGTCTCCTTGCAGGCCTTCTCATTTCCCCGCTTCTCATCCTGGCACCGCGATCGGTTAGAAACTGTCCCGTTTATTGGTCGCGGTTGGTCACCTTCCTCCTCACATTGAAGTTCTGATGACCACCTAAGTGTATACGATTCGCAATATGATGCATATAGTGGTTAGAGAATAATAACTTGATCCTCTAATGAGTTAGCTTTGCTCACCCCTTACCAATACGCTAAATCAGCAGTGATCTGCACCAGTCCCCGTTATTCAACGGAGATTACAATGTACACCGTGAACACCCGTGGACGAGCGCTTCGATCGAAAGTACAGCATTATCTGACTTAGACTCTCGGATACGCGCACTGGGTTGACACGAGTTCTGGGCAATTGCTTGTCTCAAAAACAGCCCCACTTGTACCTGTGACAAGTGTATGCAGATTGGTGCTTTGACGCTGAAAACTGGCCGCTCAAGGCAGAAAAAGCTAGTGGATGGCATTTTAGCAACGCTTCCACTGTAATCGTGGCAAGCCCACCAAAACGGAGTATGGAGGAGTTGGTAGTTCCCAGATAGCAAAATGTAGGATGAGCTATTTAGGTATCTTTTTTTGTAGTAAGCCGCCCATACAAAAAGTACATAAGTAAACTAACATACATATGTAGTCATAACCTCTCAACCCTCAAGGTAGCTAAGGAGGATATAGGAAGATATTTATAACGTAAATGAAGTCTTCATGACTTGGTATAAAATGTACTTGAAGTAAGACAATGGCTAAGATATTGCGTTCAATACGTACATGTGGTGGTCTTTCAAAGTGCTCTTTGCACTTCTATATCGTATATCTAGGATTAGTCTTGATGCTAGATTAGACCAGACTTCCATTAGATTTCTATATTTTTAAGATTTCCTTACACTAGTCTGAGAGTTGAAATGTCATGCATACGTTATGTTCAAGTATCTTTTGTATGGAGTCGCTATACAAAAGATACCCAATCATTCCAATTTGCTGCCTGGTAGGCAAAGGACCGTCGCACCCTGTGGTCTAATTCCTCTTCTTATCGCAGCAGCATAGCCGCCCTTAGTTCATTCCTCTCGGAATGCTTGCACATCTTGTTCAGATTTCCTTTGTAGCTTTTTCTATATGACTCTGAATTTTCAAATACCTAATGTACTTTGCGCTGAGTTGATTGTGCTCAATTCCCTTCGTAAATTCCCAGAAACTCTGACAGCAGTAATAATAGTCTGCGTAGATGTTACCCGGGGCATGATTATGTTACAACCTCGAAAACTTGCGACACAGTAATGTTCTTGCTAATTCCCTCCTTGGCGGTAGGTGACTCGGAGCGTAGGCTGGAAACGGAGTTCTCACGGTGTTCGGGACCAGCGGCAGTGGAAATAAGATGCGCTTGATCGTTTTGGTTAGGTAGGAAGAAGTTTTCCGGGTTTTTCTGGGCGGAGCGATTGGAATGTTTTTGCCAGCTTTCGAGTTCATGACTTTTCAAATAGCCGCTGTCGCCGGTGTTGTTTCTGGTGTTTTTCATTGTAGTGAAGAAATGGTTCATCGCAGGTAGACAGGCACAGATTAGCCCGATGCCGGCTTCGGCGTTGCTGTTGACGCTTAGTGATCAGCGGGTGACTTCGTAAAGCTATTTTTCGGAAGAGAGAAGAGATGATTCCTTACGCGGTCAAAACACAGTGGATCCAGAACCACGTCGTGTTTGTCGTCTTGCTTTCAACCACCATGATCACAAGTCGCCAGATACTGAACCCCGTAGCAAGTCCCCCGGCACCCAGAATTCCGACGACTCGCATTTTCTTGGCCGATGTCATCTGAAGTGACCAGATCAATGGAACAGGCAAGAATAGAATCCATAAGTCACCGGCGATGCTGATGACTGAGTCGGCAATAATCACCTTGCGCTGGTCGAGACACTTGCCACCATTGGAAGTACCAAACCAGTACGCCGAGATAGGGACACAGAAGAATATCTTGATGAACAGTGCTGGGAGGTAGTAGCACAGCATGACGCCAATGCTAATGTATATGACTTTAACCTTCCGGCGGTCCGGAGCGAAAACTCTCCCCATGACTGATAGGAGGGCGATCTTGATTACGAACACCATCGGGACATAAATCAGCGTAGTCGCGTAGGAGGCCTATTTTTGGTTCTATTGTTAGCGTGGTAAAACGACAAGGAAGGAAGTCGTTCAGACTTTTTCAAACTTGATGAACTGGGTTTCAGGGACATCCCAAGCATTGTATCCACCGCCGTAGGAATTGACTATATTATGGTTAGTAACGCCTATATTGTTTGCCAGGGAAATGGACACAGACGTATAAGCATGCATGCGCAAAACCCCATGAATAACACCTTTGAAGGAGTCAGCGTCAGAACCGATTAACAGACGGCTTAAGAAAGCCATACCCATCCAGCAACTGTCAAATCTGTTGGTGGAGATAGTCAGTATCAAAGAATACTCGAACATAATGATAGGTTTGCCTACAGTCTTCTGCGTTGAGGCTTTTATGATATTTAGCTTTGATCCATATTCGTATCACCACAAATATCGTGACAACTATGATACACAGCACTTGGGTCGCGAGGTTCACTGTGTGCAATACATCCTTAGGATGCGCAAAGTTGGAAGTCTGCCCTACCGGCGGTGGTATAGCAGGTTGCTGTGCCATCGGGTAGTTTTTAATTTCGCGAAGTCGATTTTCTTGGCCATTCACTGTAGAAGCAAGGCAACGATGCAATATTCTAAGGTAGCATCGAAGCTTCCCCCAAGAATTAGCAATTGACAGTTTCTGGCAAGACCGAAGCGAAGTGAAAAGAGATATTATGCCATATTATGGATTCAGAAACAATTTGCATCTGCAGTCGATAGTGTCCCTTCGTACGAGTATGGACGCTAAACCTGAGATTATCTAAGCTCGTCCATCCTGCTGACGACTTGCATAACTACTAGTGAACTAACTAATGAAAACGTCCAAGGCGGAGCGACCAGGTTCACCCAAACAGTTTATCACCGGAGATCCACAGGCTAGAAAGTCCATCGTCACCATACTGACAGAGAAACAAGTTTGTTATCTATCAACAGGGCGTTTTACCCAGGATTAGCAATTCAGCATACCTAGAGACTGAGAGCGAGATGAAAGAGATATCAAACCAATACTATCAAGAAATATCCAGAAACAATTTACGTCTACAGAGTAGGGTTAAGAGTGCCCAATACTGCGTTTGCTAAAGATTTGTCCGATGTCTTCGACCATTACTGCAAAGTAAAATGAATTCCAGGGAAAATTACCCCTAAACGTGCAGTTCGAGAGGAACAATTAATTGTATTTCAGTGTATTAAGTTCAGCCAAGGGATCTAAGTTCACCTAGTGGGGCGGGCTAACAGGTTCGGGACGAACGGAGCGGAGCAAGTTACCACAGACCCACAGCGGGCTGGAAGAAAGTCTATTGTCTGCAAATCTTGGCTGCACATGTGGTCTTGGATGTTCGACCATGGTGGTTCTGGACAAGTTTTGCCTAGTGCCCGGGAAGAGGTAAGGGCTCTAAGGAGCAATAGTTCTCATTCTTGAGTCTCCTCTTCACTTTCTCTTTGTCAACTATGGCAAGAATTCTCGGGTTGAAAATTCCCGCCGGAAGTTGCATCCAAGGTGGAGCAATACAGAAGTGCGATTCTAGGAGGATCTCACCGCCCGTATCCAGCGGATGACGGAAAGGATTCCGGGTGGAGTTTGTCCAAGGCTGATGCTACCTCACCCGCAGCCGTCAAGGCTGCCAATCTCAGAAATTTCGCATGTCAAACAGTTACTCCGATTGCACTATAATTGAATTTCACTAGTACCATCATCGTTACTGACCGAAAAACAAGCAACATCAGTCTACCTTCTGTCTGATCAAAATAGTATGGACAAGTACCCTTTCATGGCGAATGAGATGAAGTGGAATAAACATGTTCTTATTAACCTAAGCTGAAACGATGAGGACCTCTGGAAACAGTTACAGTGACTACGCATAAGTGTTGCCTTTCTTAGTACACCGCCTTCCATAAACGCGTAGCGTAGCTAGTTTGAATTTTTGCGACAGGCAGAATATTCTGTAATTAGAGGGGCCAGGGGTGTTAAAGTTTACGTAGTCACTGTCGGGAGTGCTCCGTAGAAACCCCTTAATGTCTCAACCTTCGTACTCGTAGCGCCCTCAACCCGGTGAGGCATACTCCGTACGGAGTAGTCTCATCTAAATTGATAAACTGATGAACGGTCAATTTCCCCATGCATATTGCAGCGCGTCGCTTCGTGTAGCCGCTTATATGAAGTAAGCAATGGGTGATATCCATAGATAAGTAGGCGGCGTAAGAAAAGCAGTAGGGATAGGAGTACGGAGTACTTGAGTGCAAATACCTATGGAACATCACTGTATACTCAGTAGATAACCGGACTTGACGTCTTCTATGAAACATTCATGTGGGATCCAAAAGTCTATTATTCAGTTTATAATCACCTTTCATCCTTTCCCCCCTGCATACTCATCATCTCTCAAACAAATGATGCCATCATCCCAGTTGGAAGATCCTAGCTCGACCCATAACAAATCCTTTCGTATTAGCACCAGCTTATCTAACTTAGGAGGAATTGGAGTTGTCGGCGCAGGAGAATGTCGAGCCTACAGTATGTATTAGTTAATGGTTGGCGTTGTGCTCTAAGGCTCCCACACATACCAATGGTTCCATCGGCGTAGGCCGCTTTGATTTGGATGCTGACACCGTAGGTCGCACCAACAAGGAAAAATATACCGAGAAGGACCATTCCGACGTGAAGAAGGTACTTGACCTTCTGCACAAGAGACCCCTTCAAGTAGTGCCCATGGTCGTGTAGCCAAAGTAACCCAGGGAGGGATATAGCGAGCGGAGCAAAGCATACAGATCCAACCAAGGCAATCAAGTAGTTGAAGATAGGAATCGCTTCAGCGAGAATGAAAGAGATGACGCCTAGAAAAATCGTACAGGCAAGCCAAGTCCCCCAATGGATCACCGAGTTTGCCTGCAAGTGACGGGTTTTGCCCAGGATCCTTACAAAGAGGTATTTTGCTCCAACCTAGATACCAACATCAGTTGAAAAGTCCATATAGAGAGAATACAAACAATATCTTACATGAAGATAGATCGTGGCGCTCACAATCAGCCCTATCAAGGCAACGCCGTAGGATACCATCTTGATCGTCTGGCCGGCACTCTACATAGCAAACCCGTTAGTTCACACGATGGAAATTAGGTTAACACGGGGATAGATGAGAATTACATACCCCTAATGACGGGCTAGCGACCCATTGTCCACACCAGCGGTAAACGACCAAGCTGAAGGCAAGATATGACGCCGTTACTAGCACCATACAGGGGTAGAGCGCCTTCTTATAGTCTTTCGGGTTCCGCATCTCTGAGATTACAGGGAGAAAAGCGCTCGTACCGGCCGAGGAGACGAAGATAGTGCTAGAGGCGACCATACCGGCGGCGAAACCTGGATTGTTAATAGCTATATAACCAAGTTCGTAGGGGCCTGTCTGGGGAGCGGCAGCGGGTCGGTCTCGTGTAGTGACACCGATGACGACAATCAGCACCGCAGCATAAATAGACGCGAAGCCTACATACGTGAGCCAGCCAATATGGGTGAGTTTGCGGATTGAGGCAGTGGCAATCACTACTACCATAGCCAGAAATGACCACCAGACTGTACACGCGGCATGGTGCGAGAGGGCGTTTAAGGCTGTGGACACGCCGATTATTCCACTGCCTGTGACAAGAACGTAGCCGATGATAAACAAAAGGCCGGTGGTCTCTTTGCCAACAACACCGCCGATCACCTCCGCCATGTCCGCAATGGAGTGACAGTGAGGGCGGCGCATACGAAAGTCGCCTAGGATCACAAAGGCATATGTATTGAAGGCACCCCAGGCGACGACGCTAATGGCACCGCCCACAGCACCAAGGGAGAGTAGTGCCGAAGGCAGCGACAATACGCCGGTCGCAAAGAGGACTTTCACGAACAGAATGCATGCTTTGAACCAGCCCACATTGCGAAAGCTGACACCGTCCGCGGTCTTCTTGAAGACTTCAGACCCTTCGGTCGAATCAGAGACACTTGCGTGCTCCGGGTCCGCAGAACTAAGGCCGATCTGTTCTTTGTCTGTCATTGTAGGATGAATTGAGGATTCCAAATCGTCGGCAGACCGAACCTGAACCAGGAAGGAAATGCAAGTTCCCAAGTGATAACCAGATAACCCTCTGTTGGCGAGGCGGCTGGGGTTAAGGTATGCGCGCTAAAGCACCAATCGGAAGTCCAGGTTGTTCTTTACTCCGTACTTTATTCAATGTTTGTTTTTGTTTTTCTTTCGTATTTTAGCGGTTGACAGGATCCAAACGCCCGACTTGGTCTTCCTCATAATAAATTCAGGCAATTTGTTGTAAATTCGTGGTCATCCCGTGTCTCGGCATTCACAATCTCATGGGGTTAGCCGTATGCACCTGCATGGATTGAGATACATTCTATACTAGTGTACTCCACATCTTGCTCTGAAGGTACTATAACTGGCTATGTACTCTCCACTCTGTACGGAATACATACTTTTTGGGCTATTCGTGATATCCACGAGGAACGCGAGGAGGGTACTCCGTACTCAGGGAACTCTGATGGAAAATTAGATTTTGCCATCGCATCTTTAGCATACAGTATTTCATAACCAGCTTTGCGCTCTCGGTAGGAATTTTGAATCTGTGTATCTATTAAAACAACGGAGATCGACGTATGCGGACATAAACTCGGAGTAAGAAGCAGTGTTTAATCAAGAAATGAAGATATCAAGGAAATTTCTAGACCGGGATGTTATGTCACTACCAGGGTGCAGGTGAAAAAACACTGCTGTCCTCTCAAACGATCCACTATTCTTGTTACCCCTCATCCCTCCTGAGCCCCTCCTCATCACTTTGTTTGTTCGTGGGTAGGACTATCTTATCACCATCGACAAAAGGAATTCGTCATGAATCAAGGATATCAACTCGGAGTTGACGTCGGTGGTACCTTCACCGACGTATATGTCCTCTCTCCTCACGGTCAAAGCGTCCGAGCCAAAGTCCCAACCACAATCCCAGACCAAAGCATTGGCATTCAGAACGCCATCAAGAAAGTGCGCGAAATCCTCAAAGCCCAGTTCGACTGGTGTGGAAAGTTCCAGTTCATCCACCACGGCACCACAACAGGCACCAATGCTGTCCTAGAGGGCAAGGGCGCGCATACCGCCCTGGTGGTCACCGCTGGGCACAAAGACATCCTGGCCCTGCGTCGCTCTCAGATCCCAGGCGGTCTTGGTGCCTGGTTGCACTTTACTCCGCCAGAGCCTATCGTCCCTCTGGAACGGGTAGTGCAATGCAAAGAGCGAATGTCAGTGCATGGAGAGCCGGTTACAGCTGTGGATATTCAGGATCTTCGACAGAGCCTGCGAGTGTTGAGGGGACAAAACCCCGAAGCTGTTGCCATTTCTCTCTTGAATTCACACAGCAATGACTCTCATGAACGCGTGGTGGAAAAAGTAATCTGTGAGGAGCTCGGCTCCAATGTGGCCGTTATCTGTTCTTTTGATGTATTGCCCGAGGTGGGCGAGTACGAACGCACGGTCACGACCTGCA